GAGCTCAGAGTTCTGTACCAGTGCAGTATGGAATCTGAAAAATATGAAAGATGAAATTTAAGGCATCAGCAGCCCTGAGGAGGAAGATCTGCAGTGCTGGGATCAGTGACAAGCTCCCAGTACAGCAGAGCCCCGAATGAACTGGGGCAGGTCCAGCCCAGGGCCAGGGGATGCTGGAGGGTCTGAGCTGGGGAGGAGAAGGCTCAGGGGGATCTCCTCAGTGCCTGTCACTGGTGAACAGAGAAGGTGGAGCCAGGCCCTTCCCAGTGGTGCCAGGGCAAAGGGCACAAACCCTCACGCACAAAATCCCCCAAAACATCAGAAAAAATCTCCCTCGGTGGTTGGACACTGGAAAAGCATTTGGAGAGAGGACACAGAGTCCATCTTCAGACTCCACGGGGTCACAGGCAGGATTGCTCAGGTTGGAGAAGACCTTTAAGGTCATCCAGCCCGGCCACCAAGGCAGCAGCACCTCCCTGGTCACTGAACCACATTCCCAAGTGCCACATCCACGTGGTTCTGCACACTTCCAGGGATGAGCAGGGATCTGTATCATGCTTGCTGGGAACCAGGTGAAAATTAGCCCATCTCATCCCACAGCTCTGAAAATCCCTCCAGACAGTCTCGGGGGTTCCAGAAATAGCCAGTTTTTATTTGAGCCCCATCCTCTGGTGGGGTTTTCACATTAAATTGAAATTGGACTACATGGAGGGACAGAAAGTGAAACAAAGTCACAAAAGGAGTTCCTGCAGAATTTTTCCTTGCTGAAAGCAACAAACAGTGGAGAATCCAAAGGAATATTTCCACTAGGGAAACCTGTAGGGCTCTTATTTAAGGGCACTTGAGGTGTCCCTGGGCTCCTCTTAAGGTTTGCTCATCTCGTGCTGGCAGCCAGGCTAAAAGTCTCCCATTTTTCCATCTCTCTGGGATATAAGGAGTGCCTGGATTCTGGATGGAGCAGGAGGCAGGTGAAGATGCCCAGTCTGTGGTCACCTGAATAAATAAACCCTGATTTTAATCCTGGTTGCACCCAGACACTCCCCATAGTGAGGGAGAGAGATAAACAACACTCAGAAACAAATCATGGCAACTTAACCTTATTTTTTGTTTGTTTTTTTTTTTTTTTTCCCCCTGTGTTTTATGGCCAGAGAGGAATAACTCATATCAAGGATCATGACCTCAGCAAGGTTTCCAGCAGTTTCCAGCAAAGCAATGTGAGATTAATTAGAGAAGCAGGTTGTTAATGAGCCTGTCTAGGGTGGAGGCCATGAGGGCTAAGTGACCATGCAGGGACCAAATATCAGGGCCTGGTGTGGTTCTGGATTTGGTTTCTTTGTTCCTGGTGGAAAAGGAATTTGCTTATTAAATTTGCAGGTGATATGAACCTTAGATGACTGTAAGTCTATTAGAGAACAGGATTAGAATTTAAAATGTTCTTGACAAATTGGATAAATAGCCTGCAAATAAATTGATTAAATGGAGAAAAATGAGATGCCTCGGGCTGAAGCAGGAATGCTAAAAAGCCTTTTCTGTGTTGGAGAACAATTGGAGAGTTCCTTGGCAAAGCAATAAGGAACCACAAAGGATCACAGACTTCACACGAATCAGGAAAAGGAAAATATCACAGGTTTGTGTGAGCAAGAGGAGCTGACTGGGGACAATCCAGGCACTCCACCCTGCCCTGGTCAGGGCTCTCTCAGAAACACATCCCAGGGCTGGGGAGGGTCTGGGTCAGTGGGAGCACAGGGGGCTGCAGTGACAGGGACCCAAAATCAAAGCAGGAAAACAGGGAAACAGCAAAGGAATGGGGTCAGCAGGAAGGATCGAGGAGCACACAGTAACTGTGGTCATAAAGGGCTGGGCAGGAGTGAGGGGGGGTCTCTCCACATCCCTGGAAGACAGGAAAGAAGGAATTGGTCTGAAAAGCAGAAAGGAACACCCAGTGACACAGATCTTCAGGGGGAAAGGAGATATCCATGGAAGGTTTGGGAATAGCAGAGCAGCACACGAAGGATCCCCAGAGATCTCCTCTCACCCTGCTCTGCTGCAGCTCCATCCACGCTGGAAAGGTCTGGGCAAGGAGCTCAGCCCTTACTGACAGCTGAAGGCCGTGGAGGTTCATCAGGAGTCCCTTTTCTGATGATTTCCTTCCAGTGGAAGGAGACAGAGCTGTTCTCCCCGCCAGGGGCAGCTCCCAGCCCCAGCAGTGGCTCTGCCAGGGATCATCCCCCTGCCCTGCCCATTTGGGACAGGATTCCCATTTCCTGGGGAGGGATCAGGGCTCAGGTGTATTGGAGCTGTTTAACCCCTCGAGGCCACACCTGTGGCTCCTCTCTGTGCTCACAGGGGGACAGTCTGGCCTTGGGTGCTTGGGGCTCACATCCTGATCAGTCCAAAGCCCTGATGGAGCTGGGAGGGGTCTCCAGGAGCAGCCCACCCTGCGGGTACAGCTGGGTGTGCTCCTGCCTGGACATGATTCTCACCTTTGCAGAGAGCCCTCATTTGCAGGCTCAGCAGAAGGGGAGCAGATTCCCATTATCGTGTTCTCCTTGCATCTGGAATTTTAAGTGAACTGCATAACAGAATCTTCTGCTTTCTTAAGCATTTCCTTCTCCTTTCTTTAATCATGCTGAGATTTCCTGTGATACTGTGAGCTGTAATTATCATCTGCAGATCAGTGGCAATGCTAAGCTGGTTCTTAAAGGGATTTTTTTTTTCTGTGAATTTCAGATGACCAAGAACAAAATTATAATCACCTGATACTAAACAGTGACAACCAGACACCTACACATGGTAAGAGACAGCAAAGAGCAAAATTACACACGTTGTAACTTTCCTCTGCCAGCCAGTAACATTTACTGGTACCAAATGTGTTTAATGTTAATGGAAATATTCCTCTGGCAGTGCAGCATGGCTGATGGTTCCCACTGACATTAAACACAGGACCATATTTTCAGTAGTGTGCACAGGGAAATATGGCCCAGTCTTTTCTAACTGTGCTGATCAGTGTCTAATTCCAAGATACTCCGTTGTTTCCCACTTGGTTTCCTCCCCCTCGTCCCACCTGGAGATGTTTCTTTGCCTCCTCCATGGCCAGAAGCTGCCTCTCTCTGCTCAGGCCTGTCCCCCAGCCCTTCTGTCCCCTCCTTTGGGTTTCCCTGGGCAGCAGTGGAGCCTGGGCTGTGTCTCCCTTCCCTTGGATCCAGCCCAACCCTGGCAGCTCCTGGCTCCCTCCAGCCCCAGGCCAGTCCCTGCCACCCAAACCCCTGTTCCTCAGGGTCTGTGCCATCAGACCAGCCTCTGATTGATCCCTCAGGCCCCCTCTGCTTCCCCCCCTCTTCTGCTCCTTGTCTCAGTCCTGTCCGTGTCCCTCCCTGCCCCCTGTGCCTTTGGAATGGGATCCATTCCTCCTGCTGTAAGCTCCCAGTAAATCTCATCTCTATCACTTCTGGCAGCTCTGAATCTCTGTATTTGTTACTCTTTTTGTCCTGGTGTTTGTTTTGAGTCCTGAAACCTCATCCTGACTATTCTGGAGCTGATTTATTGCAAGTTGTGTTCACATATAGAAATCTCCCTGCTGCTAAGGAGGGTGGGAGAACAACTGCCCTTGGAAAGATCCTCTAAAACCCTGGGGGTTTCTCCTTCCCAGAGGAGGCAGGCATCTCTTCAGCCTGCAAATTGCTTCCATGGTAAGCCTGTATTATTAGGACTTCATTTTCTGTCTTCCAAACACTTCAGGAGGAAGAGTGTCAGCTTTAAACTCATCAGTGCCACAGCAGTATTTATTGAGCCTGAACTGACAGCTTCCAATGTTCCTGACTACTTACTCTGTTTACTTTTTTACCTTCCTGAGGGAAAAAAAGAGAAGAAAATGGGAGAATTAGGGTTGAAATTGTGTTGTCTTCTCTTTGGTCTTGGTACTCATTCTTAAAATCCAGCCCCTGCTGGGCTCTGAGCTGCCCTTGACCTGTCTGCCCAGGAGCTTTAATGCAGCTCCAGCATCAGGGTCCCGTTGCATCCAAGCACTCCAGGGAATGCGACAAAACAATTCCACTTCCCTCTGCTCCTAACAGATGCTTTGCTTTTTTTATGTACTTAAGAGACAAAAAAACCGAAGGCAGATCCACTCATGGTCTTGGATTCCTTGTGCTTCCTGTGCCTTAACAGTTTGGCTGTTGTGAGGGACTGGGATGAGCTGACTACAAATGAGGGTGTGATTCAGAGGTACATCTTCCTCTGAGTTATCCAGATGGCCGTGGATGCTTTTGTTCCTTCCATCCCTGTGTGCTGCTGCTGCCGGTGAGCCATTGCTTGGCGAGGCTGAAAATACATTTGGACTTTTCAAGTAAGACATCAGAAGAGCTTGCAGGACGGCACGGAGGGCTGGAACGAGTGCTGGGAATTGTGATATCCTGGGGAAGACAATTCCCAGCGGGATCAGAGGTGACCACAGGCAGCTGAGTCACAGGAAGGGTCCAAGGCCAGCTTGGACAGGGCTTGCAGCCCCTGGGAGGTGTCCCTGCCCGTGTAGGGGTGGCACTGGCTCAGCTTTAGGGTCCATCCCAGCCCATCCTGGGACTCCTCAGTTCCAGACTCTCCCAGCCCAGGGGCTGCAGTCCCAGGATTTCAATTCTGCTGTGGTTGAGGACTCTGAGCATCCCAATCTGCCAGAAATCCCTTGGGTTTTTTATTGCTGCTGGACTCTTCCTGTCCAAATCCCCCCCAGGACACCAAATGTCCCATCCCAGTGGCTCCTACAGCCCTTTAGAAACCTCAGCTGAAATTCTGCTCTCAGTGACAGAATTGAGATCCCAATACCACTGAAATCTGAATTTTCATGTGGATTTCCTTAACTCTAGACTTTACTTCTACCTCAGCTGCAGATTTGAGCTGCAAATGAAGAACTCTACAGCAGTTTTAGGAAATGTAGTGATTTGTATGTAAAATGTGAGTGGGAGGGAGCAAGTATTAGGCTCTAAGCACAACCAAGTTTTACATATGAAATGCAGCTAAATCTTTTGATACATTAATTTATCTTGCTTAGATATTCAGCCTTCACACAAAATAAGCACATAAAATGATTTTCCCCATAAAAACATTAAAATATGAAGGAAAAAACCGAGCTGGGGGCACAAAAGAGAACTGAGCATCAGCTATAACAGAAATACACAGTGACTGCCTGGGCTCAGTTTCTGTACAGATTATTGCTTTATTTTTTACTGCTACTGAAGTTTCATCTCATTATATTTAGTGCATATATAATTATCCTAACCTAAAGAGCACCTAATAAACATTTTCTTTTTTACATCTTTATAAATACCAAGCGCATTTCCAAATAATATGGTTAGAAGGAAGTTCATATCACGACTTTTATGTCAGTTAATTGCATTTGACAATCATCTCAAAAATACTTGGTAAAGCACCATGAGCAGCCAATTACTTCAAGGTTTTAATTTGGCCAAGTGTTTTTCCATGGATGATGCCTGGGATTGCTCTGATGGAGGCAAATTTCATTTTATAGCTGTACTTGTGTGGGTTTTTAAGAGTTTCCTCTATATGGACTCAGGTATGAGTGTGGTTTCCTTCCTTCCTTCCTTCCTTCCTTCCTTCCTTCCTTCCTTCCTTCCTTCCCTTCCTTCCTTCCTTCCTTCCTTCCTTCCTTCCTTCCTTCCTTCCTTCCTTCCTTTTCCTTCCTTCCCCTTTCTTTTCTTTCTTTTCCATCCTTCTTTTCCCCCTTCTTTCTCTTTTCTTCATTTCAAAAATCCAGGGCATCTTCCTTCCCAAACACTAATAGGGCTTTGGGGGATATATTGCTGAAAAAATCCTTGCATCAATTTTCTAACATCAGACCAGAAGCTTCAATTTGGGGCAATCCCAGAAGATATGAAAACGATTCCCTATTCTGTCACATCTCCTCCAGCAATTTGTTGAGAGTTTTGTGTCTATTGTGTTTAAGACACTGTTTACAAAATCATAACAATTAAGGACTGTTTAAATTAGCTTTATCCCCAGCAGAAATATATGGGGGAAAGGAGAAGCTAATCAGATGTGCAGCATATAACCCAGAGAACAGACTGGATGTCCTGACCTTGGGCAGAGCTGGAATGGCTGTGGGAGGTGTGATAATTCACCTGGGGGAATTTTAGAAGGAATTTGAGCTGGGACCTCTGAATTGTTTTAGATGATAAGGTTTATTTTCTTATCTTCTACATAGACAGGAAGGGTGAGTCCTGCTCACATCTTCACAGCATGGCTCAGAAGGTCACAACACCTCGAGTTACAAGACCTTTTAAGGAGTTATTGACCAATAAAACACTGCCAACAAGGATAGTTATATTTTTGAGCTAATATAAATATTTTTATATTTATAAAATATTATAGATCCATGCTACATTGTAAGCTTTCTTAGCCAATCATGTTATGGCACACAAACCCACAGTGCTGCATTCTAAACTCCTTGTTTACCTCTTTCATTTTTTCCATATTTTAAACTCTGAAACTCTAAACTTTCCTCTGCTTAGCTTAAGGTATCTCTGCTTTAAACTCCAAATCCACATTCTCGCTTCCAGCACCTGAGTTTGGGAGCCTTTTCCAAGGTCTCAGCTCAAATTCTGGGATTAATTCTGGAATCCCTGGCAGTGCCCAAGGCCGGGCTGGACAGGGCTTGGGGCAGCCTGGCACAGTGAGAGGTGTCCCTGCCATGGCAGGGGTGGAATTGAGTGGTCTTTGTGATCCTTTCCAAGCCAAGCCAAACAAGACCAGACCAAACTGAACCAAACCAAACCAACCAAACCGAACCAAACCGAACCAACCAAACCGAAACGAACCAAACCAAACCGAACCAAACTGAACCAACCAAACCAAACCAACCAAACCGAACCGAACCAAACTGAACCAAACCAAACCAACCGAACCGAACCAAACCAAACCAGACCGAACCGAACCAAACCAAACCAAACTGAACCAAACCAAACCAAACCAAATCAAACCAAACCAAACCAAACCATTCCATGCCATTCCAAAATCCCTCTCCCTGCCCTGCCCACGAGGCTCTGGCAGAGCTGGGGGGAGTTACCAGTTTGCAGTGGTCTCAAACCCAGCAGAGAGGGCTCCCAGCCCCAGCCCTGGCCAGCCCTGGTGCTGGCAGCTCTGGTGCCAGAGCCAGGGGTTTTATCTGCACTCCCTGCAAGGGCAGCACACCCAGCGTGAGCAGAGCCTTTGCTCGGACTGCTCTGTGCAATTTTAATTTCTGCAGCTCTCCCTTCCATTTTAATTGGCAGCGTTGCCCCTCTCAGCCCAGCTGTGGGGTGCAGCGTTCAGTGAAGCACTCTGTCAGCAGAGTGGTGCTGGCAGCTCTGGTGCCAGAGCCAGGGGTTTTATCTGCACTCCCTGCAAGGGCAGCACACCCAGCGTGAGCAGAACCTTTGCTCGGACTGCTCTGTGCAATTTTAATTTCTGCAGCTCTCCCTTCCATTTTAATTGGCAGCGTTGCCCCTCTCAGCCCAGCTGTGGGGTGCAGCGTTCAGTGAAGCACTCTGTGTGCTCAGGGGCTTTTCCACGCTGATCCCCCTGGGTGACAGCCCTCAGGGGGGGTCACTGTCACGTCCAGTGCCACCCTGCAGTGTGTGCTGCACCCCTGCCCTCTGCACCTTCAGGCTGCTGCTCAGTTCTCAGCCCAGCAAGGCCCAGGGAGCCATCCTGGCAGACACAGGGCTTTAACACTGCCTCTGTTTGCAATCCTCCATCTCCAGCTCTCATAAATGAGGGCAGCTACTCGCTGGAGAGCTCTGATTTACACCACAGAGGATCTGACCTGGAAATGTAGAAACCTCCTGGAGATTAGTCATGAGAAATGCAAAGCACTATTAATAACGGCGTTTGTAGCACGAGGAAACAGAAGTGTGAACACACAAACACTGAAGATATCTGTCATAAATTTTGAGCCTGCAAACATCAGTTTATTGCCTGCTCTGACAGCGTGTCACTTCAGCATGGCCTGGGAGCTCTGAGCCCTGGCACGGAAGGCTCCAGAACGTCAGCAGTGGCAGCAGATTTTCCTGAGGAATGGGGCCCTTTGTAAGAACTTGCGTCAGAATCCCAGACTTTGCGTCTGAGCCTTCAAAGGGCTGAGCAGGAGGCAGTGCTGGGGGAGCAGGGAGAGCTCTGACACAGGGCTGGAGCTCTGCTGAGCTGGAGCTGAGCAGCAGAAGGCTGGCTTGTAGCAGCTTCTCCTAGGTGACACTGTTTGCTTTCTCTGGGTGAATGTTTTAAAAGGCATCTGTTGAAATGTCTTGCAGAATTCGCACAACATATGTGCAGACTCAAATGCAAATGTGCAGCACATCCCTTTTGCCACTTGAGCTTTGTTCAAAACTTTGCCATCGATTCATATTTTTTTTTTATTTTGGTATCATCTGCTCCCGTCCTTGAACATGAAAGGTTTTGTGCCTCGTGTAAACACACTTTGAAAGTGTCTTCCAACAAGAGGGGCAGAGCGAGATGTGACAAGAAGACTTCAGGTCTAATCTGCACAGCTCTGGAAATCCTGAAGCTTCTCTGAGCCCTGAGCTTGCAGAGAGGTTGCAAAGCACTGGCAGAGAAATGAGCTCTGCCTCAGCCCAGAGGGTGGTGTTCCTGTGGTGCTGGGTGACATTTCTGTGGTGCTGGGTGTCCTCTGAGCTGGCTGAGCTTCCCCTCCTGTGCCAGGAGGGATGGTGTGCCAGAAAACAGGCACCAAATGGCACAGAGATGGAGGAGAATGGGGACCAAACCTGACTGTAAAGGTGAGCCCAGCAGCCAGGGCCAGAGCTCATTTTCCAGTGTCATCTCCAGCTGGGATGATGGGAATGCAGTGTACAGCCTCAGCTGCCTTGCAGGGAATGGGAAACCTTTGATTTGCATCCTGATCATTGATTGTGACCTGCAGCTTCATAGGAGCCCACAAGCACCACAAACAAAGAGGAGAGAGACCAGAGACAAATATATTGCAGGAGCAAAAACCTGCTGAGAAACTGGTGCTGAACTGGCCTCAGAATATAAATTACACGAGATATTTCTCCGCACTAGAGCACCTCAGTTCTCTGATCTCCCCCTCAAGCTACATTATGCAAAAGACATCTGAAATTAGCTTTGGTCATTTCAGTTTATCCCTTGTTTTGCTGAGTGATGGGCAGTGGCTTTCAAGGTGACTTCTCGTTTGCCAGAATCATTCCGGTCTGTTCCCAACCGCCTGGATGGGAAAAGCAGCGAGAAGATGAAGTGATCCTGCAGCAGCCCATCAGATAAATGTGTGGCACTTAATTTCACACACCTCATGCGAGCAGTCAATTAATGCTCTGCTCTGGCACCGAGCACAGCTCCGTGCGTGTGCCCGGGCTCACTGCAGCGTGCCCAAACCCCCATGAAAATGGAGATTAGCTCCACGTTCTGCCTGAGCAATCTGCAAAGAGATGTTACCCCGGGGTCCTTGCCACACAAGCAGGAGGAGGAGTGGGGAACATGGTTTCGGTGCTGATCCAGCCTCTGTTTGCTGGCTAACACGGAATCAATCGTTTCCAGCCCCCCGATGATCCTGCAGGCAGTCTGTCAGACACGGGGGGAAGCCATCAGCAAGGAAGTGCTGCTCTCTGAGAGGTGCCACTGCACATCCCTCGGCTCTGTGCTCTTTCTGCCACACCAGAACCCCTGTCCAGGAGAGCAGAGAGGAGCAGGAGAAAGGGGAGAGGAGATTTAGGAACCGAGGTGCTCCCTGTGCCAGGACAACAGAGAGGAGCAGGAGAAAGGGGAGAGGAGATTTAGGAACCGAGGTGCTCCCTGTGCCAGGACAACAGAGAGGAGCAGGAGAAAGGGGAGAGGAGATTTAGGAACCGAGGTGCTCCCTGTGCCAGAACAGCAGAGAGGAGCAGGAGAAAGGGAAGAGGAGCAGGAGAAAGGGGAAGAGGAGATTTAGGAACCGAGGTGCTTATTGCATTGGGAGGAGGAATTTTTCACCAGTGCTGGGTTCTGTGAGAAAGAATATCTTTCTTTCTTTCTTACAGAATTACTGTGAGAGTAATTCTGTAATTACTGAGGCAGGGCTGCCTCAGCCTGTCTTTGACGCCATGCAGTACTGAGGGTGGGTGACAGGAGGTTTAAAACATCCAGGGGAAGCCCCAGTGGGAGAAAAGTGGTGGAAGCAGCTCTGGATCCCGAGCAGACACACAGATGAACTGCTGGGTTCATTTCCAGGCTGCAGGGGCACCGAGGACATGGTGAAATGAAAAATTCAGAGAGGAGGAGAACGTTCTGCTGTCCAACAAGCAGGGCTCCACACGGCAGAAAGGCAGCAGGGGAGGAGGTGGCCTCACTCTCACAGATGTTTTTTTGGAGGAAACAGAATCACTTCAGACTCAGGTCTAGAAAAATGTCTGTGAAATGTCTGCACTCTACCTGGGTGGGTTTTGTTTTGAGTTTTTTTCCTGGAAATGGGAGAAGTTAGCAAGTGTAGGGACACTGCACAAAGCCAGCAGTTTTCCAAGTGAAGCTCCCCTGCTGCTCTGTTACCTCTGGGCAGAATCTGAGCTTTTGTCTCCACCAGCTCCTGGTGCAGAGGAGGCAAGAGGGCTTGGGGCTGGTGAGTGCACACTGGTCATGCACTGCTCTTCATGGGACACTTAGGGATGTGCAACAGCAATGTGTGAGCCCAGGGCTTGGGCATTCTGCTGCTCCTGCAGAGAACTTACCCTTCTGATTTCATTTTCAGACCATACCTGAAGTGGCCACCTCCTTCCCTCAGCTACTGACCCCCATCACTGCTGTGGGGTCTGACAGAGCCCACTGGTCTGTTCTAACTCTGCTTCTAATAATTGAAGGTCCTGCTTCGTTAAATCCTTTCATCTCTGCCCATTTTAATATCTGAACACCTGCTTGTAAGTGCAGTTCAACAGGTCCCTGTGCCTTGGCTGGGCTGATCAAAGACCATTTTCCAGCTTGCAGAGAAAGAACAAGGTTTCAAACCCCTGCAGATAGTTTGGAGTTCAATTTTAGCATCTGGGCTTAGTGCTGACCTTTACTGCCAGTGCCCTCAGCATTAGAATTGTGACAGAGGGCACTGGGACCCTGCCTGGGGACCCGTCAGTGACCAACAAAATGAACATCAGTAGAGGGACATCCTCCACCCCTCAGGATAGGGATTTCCTGCCTCAGGAGCCTCCCCAACACCTTGCTTTGCCCTCTGAGTGCCCCCAGAGGTGCCCCCAGCCCCAGCTCCCAGCCCAGGGAGGTGTGAAGCTTTGCAGAGCCCCACAGCCCCAGAGCCTCCAGGTTCAGAGCATCCATGAGGAATGTGGCACACAGAGAGGGCAGCTGGACAATCATCATCCCCAGTTAAAGAACCCCCCAGAGTGGTTTTGTGTCCCTGAGGATGAGGAGGGCACGCTGTGTGGGTGAAGGTGAGTGATGCTGCCTGGCACAGCCCTGCATGCCCGGGGTGAGTGCCAGTGCAGCCCCATCCCTCTGGGACAGCTCCAGGGGACTGAGGCAGCACTTTGCTGTCCCCACAACGCTGTGGAAGGAAGCAGCACCACAGGATCCATTTCTCCTGGATCTGCTGGTGCCAGTTTGAGTCATGCCCAGGAGCCCGTGGCTGAGCCTGGCTCAGGTCCAGCTTTGCTCCCTGCTGGAGCCTGTGGGGCACAGCCAGCCTCTCTCCATCCCCTCGGGGCACGCTCTAGACCTGCCTTTCTCTGCTGTTTCTTTTTTCAGACAAGCCACGAATGAACAACATCCTCACTTCAGCCACCGAGCCCTACGACCTGTCCTTCTCCCGCTCCTTCCAGAACCTCTCCCACCTCCCGCCGTCCTACGAGTCTGCTGTCAAGACCAACCCGAGTAAATATTCCTCTCTGAAGAGACTCAGTAGGTGTCAGCTCCTTTCCTTCCCCCTGTTTCTGGTTTGTTCTCGAGTGAGGAATAATCCCTTCCCTCTGCTGGGTACTCCTGGGTGTGGGTGTGTTCGAGGGTGCCAGGATGAGGGAAGAGATGAGAATCTTAACTCCATGTTTCAGAAGGTTGATTTATTAATTATATTATATTATATTATATTATATTATATTACTATACTAAAACTATGCAAAAAATAATAAAGAGAAAGGATCCATCAGAAGGCTGGAAAGGAATAGAAAGCAATAACAAAAGCTCATGACTCTCAGAGTCCGACACAGCTGCATCTTTGATTGGTTATTAAGTAGAAACATCTCACATGCTCCATGAGCAGTTCTGAGTGCACTCAGTGCTCCTGCAGCTTTCCCTGCCCCTCTGGGCAGTCCCTGTCCCACTCAGGGCACCCCTGGCAGCCACCAAGGACCCTGAGCTTGTCTTTGTCCCTTGGCTGGAGAGGAGTTCAGTAAAACCTTAAATATCCACCCCACCAAGGCCAGCAGGGAATCCCTGCTCTCTGCAGGGCAAATCCACCTCTGGACATCCAGGGCAGGCGTGGAGAGCCTCCAGGGCTCTCTCAGAGCCAGCCCAGCCTCGTGCCCAGCAGCTGGCAGATGCCAAACCCACTGCCCCACTCTGTGTTCCTCAGTAGCCAAGGAGTTCCAGCTCTGGAAGTGCCAAGCCCTCCCTGCTCCCACGGGCACTGAACACACTCAGCACCTCCAGAATCACTGAATCACTCTCCTGCAGCTGCTCCGCTCCAGAGCCAAAGGAAAAGAGGCTCCCAGCTCCCCAACCCCGCCTTGCAAAGTGCCAGCAAGATAATGTTCTCATTCCGTATGAAGGAGCTGAAGGGAACACAAAAAAAGTGTGATATCTAAAAGCTGGAGTTCGAAAATTACTTATTTGACATTCATTTTTTTTATTTAAATTTGTTTCTTCCCAATGGACTCCCTGTCACTGTTAGAATAAAAAAAATATAACAGTAATGAAGAGATCATCAACAAATACTTCTATTTGAGCAAGACAAAAAGCATTAGATATTTTTTAAATCTATGTTTCAGGTGCTTGTCTGGCTTGCCAGGCAGGGAAAAGTTATTTATTTTCCTCCAGTTAGCAGAGACAGATGGTGAAATACCAGGGTTTTTTTATCTCCCTGGCCCTTCCTTCAGGGCACAGACAACAGAACCTCCCCTGAGGGGTCCTTGGGGGTTTTGGGGGGTCTCTGAGGGGCTGGGCACCCCCTGTGCCCTGGGGAAGAGCAGCGAGGGGAGGGTGTGAGGATGTGGCTGAGCAAGAGCAGCCAGATTAATTCCATCCTGCTCCAGGGAATTGCTCTTCCCAGCGAAGTGAGAAAGGTCAGTGAGGAAGGAAGCTCCTGTTTTCAGGCATATTAAAGCACTTGGTGCTGGCTGGAGAATCATCACAAGTGACTGGGCAGCTTGGAAATGTTAAAGCCAATTAAAACAAGGAGAGACAAGCCCAGAGAGGAAACCTGCTGGAGCTGCAGAGGAAAGAAAGCTGGGGAAATTACCTTTAAAAAAAGGAGAGGAATTGTTGTGATGGCCAAGGAAATAGAACTATGAAAGATGCATTGAAGTAGGACCCATGAGGGATAATTTTAGGTGATTGGCTTTAAGGCATTTACAGTATAGTATGGTAGGCCAAGAAATGCTTATAATGTATTGTAATTAAGAAATATTTAACTTCTAATTGTGATAGGGTGAATTGTAACATCTGTATTGCCTCGCCCTTCACGTGAGGCTAAAAATAAACCAAAAGTTTTTAAAATTCCTCTCAGTTACCCCATCTCCAAGTCAAAAAAGAACCCAATCCAACAACATTCCTGCCAGGCTCTGTTCCCCATGCCTGGCTCAGGCTGACACCCCTCTCAGAGCTAGCAGCCTGGAAAATGTCTGTCTGCTGCTGCCTCGAGCAGCTTGGTGGGTGTGACACACGGCTGTTCCACCTCCTCTGGCTCCTCTGAGGTGGAGATGAGCAGCTTTTCCACACCTGGAAATGTTCCTCCTCCTCCTCAGCATCACTGGAGGCACGGCCTGGGCGAGCTTAGGAGCATCTTTGAAATGAAATCAGCTCCCTGAAAGGTTGAGCCACGGCAGCAAAAGGTTGTACAGACCTGTACCAGGGACACAGGAGGGAGAGGGAAGGAAAAGGGAATTTTTTATGCTCCTAATGGACAAAACACTTTAAAGGGTAGCACATGCTGCATTTTTAGTCCAAGGAACACCTTCAAACCCCTTCCAAGCAGCTGATTGTGCCACCTCTCCAGCAGCCTCAGAGCTGTAAACCTCACATAAGCTGGTTTAGCTCCTGCTGGCAATTACCAGAGCCAGGTGTGAGCATCCAAGCACATCTCCATTTGGGATGTTCTGTGCTTTAATTACATCTATTTAGAGTCACATGGGCAAATCCTGTGGAACTCCTCTCATCCAGAGCAGAGGCCAAGTGCCAGAGTGCTAATTGCTTCGTTCCCACTCTGCAGCCAGCCTCCAGCATCGCTGCTGAGCCCCTGCACACCCAGCCTGGCATTTCCAACCAGGGCAAAACACAGAATAAAAATGTCTACAGCTCCTGGGGCCATATGGAGTTTCCCCCGCCCTCAGGCTTCCTAGAAGGTGATTTTAAAGACAAGAGAGCTCGAGGCCAGGAGAGCTGCTGCCTGACATTTGCAGTGAGAAATCCTTCTGAGAAGTGTTGGATGGCAAAAAATAAAGATCCATCCCTGCAGTGTGTGCTCTGGAGAGCAAATCCCACGAGCAGGAAGGCAGCACAGGGGAGCTGTGGGTGACCTCACGCCTTGGGGCTGTGTGGGCTGGGAGGAAGGGGCTGGCAGCAGCACTGGTGGCACAGATGTTCTCAGCTCCTGCTTCTGGGTGTGAGGGAACCAGCCCCATTTCCTCACAGATCTGGGCTGTGCACAGGGCCTGGCAGCAGGGAAGGGAAGGTGTGGGACAGGGGATGAGGATGTAAGTGAGGGATGTGGCCCAGCACAGGGTGGTGCAGGGTTTGGCTGAACTGGTGTTTTGTGAGCAAAGCTCTGGGATGCTGTCAGCACCCACCCCATGAGCTCTGGCTCATGGGACAAGCAGCCAGTTGTCTTCAACTCCCAGCCAGTGTGGTGCACAAAACCTACAGATTGATGGCTGTGGGATTCCAGTGATCTATCACGATACAGCTGCAGTAGCCAACATCCTCTCTGAGCCCACAGCATTCCTCTCAAAGCCAAAAAAAGGAGAGTGAGTGTGTGGGGGGTGTGGGCTGCATTTCAGAGCAGCAGAGAGATCGTTTAAGATGCAGGAGCAGCAAACTGAGCAAGAAATGTTCCATGGGATAAATTCTATTATATCAACCAAGGCTGATTATAAAAATGGGAAACGAAACCTTAAGCAGGTGATTCAGTGGCTCAGAGACCACCAAACCTGGTTTGTGATCACATTTACAAATATTTCAATGTGGTAATTAAAATGTCATGAGGTCATTCATGGGCTGTAGGGAATAGCCATGAGTAAGGCCAGAAGTGAGATGTGTATGTCCTCAAACAGGGACCTCGCCTGCTTGTGTCACCTGCCCTGTTCTTTCCCAGGGCGACATTTGGAGAATGTGACATTTGGGAATTTCTCCATTGCTCACATCTCATGTAAATTGTGTGGTACCACGGTCTGGCCTCCAGAGCACATGGAGGAGTGTGGGATGCACTGCCCAGGGAATTACACTGTCCCCACTCATTTCACACTGCTCTGTGTGCCACAAGCCCTTGGTGACACCACCCACACAGGGCTGTCCGTGCCTGTGGCAGACAGGTGTCACCAGGCCTCAGGTGTCACCAGGAGGCAGCTCCAGGGCCTGGGACAGCACTCTGACATTTCTAACTTCTCCCTTTCCCTCCCCACAGCTGACAAAGAGGCTGACGAGTACTACATGAGGAGGAGACACCTGCCCGACCTGGCAGCCCGTGGCACGCTGCCCATCAACGTCATCAAAATGTCCCAGCAGGGCAACCACCGGGACAGGCCCCGCCGTCCCATCAGGGCCATGTCCCAGGACAGAGTGCTGTCCCCCGAGAGGATCATGCCCGAGGAGTTCAGCATGTCCTACGAACGGATTCTGTCGGACGAGCAGCTGCTGTCAGCAGAGCGCCTGCACTCCCAGGACCCGCTGCTGTCCCCGGAGCGGTCGGGCTACCCCGAGCAGTCCATGTCGAGGGCATTGTCACACACGGATGTCTTTGTGTCAACACCGGTCTTGGATCGCTACAGGATGTCAAAAATGCACTCCCATCCCAGTGCCTCAAATAACTTGTACAATACCTTGAGTATGAACCCGACCTCGGCCAAGCGCCAAGCGTTCGCCTCGCGCCGGCACAACACGGTGGAGCAGCTGCATTACATCCCCGGGCACCACCACCACTACCGCACCGCCAGCAAAACAGAGGTGACTGTTTGACACGACCCAGTGCATTGTAGATACTCCTTAAGGACCGGGGTGGCCACAGCACCCCGTTCTGCAGTGGCCTTATAGGCCAAGATAACCTCTACTAACTCAGTGTCTGCAAAGACTTCTCTGGCAGTCCCACCCACGTTGTTTTTAAAGCCACCCCTTCATCAGTGACACAGGAAGAACTGAAGCAGCTGTCAGACACTAGTGAGGGATAACAGAGGAAATTTCCTGATGTGCATCAGTTTCTGTCAAAGAAAGCCATAGTAATCGATGGCTCCTTCCAAGGGCTCACCTGCATTATCCCATAGTTTCCATGAATTCAGGACTTTTCAGTTGCTCCAAGGAGAAGCAGCCTGAGACAGGGAGGAGGAAATGCAGCCCCCCCCATCCTGGCAGAAAGGGGCCTCGCTCTTGGTCCTCATGTTTGGCCTTTCTGTAGCAAGTAAGGAAGTCCTGGCTGCTGGGGCCACCCCCAGGCTGCTCAACACCTGTCAGCACCCACACATCTGTTCTTTGTCACCCTTGGAGCAAATTCAAGGGCAGACTTTCCTTCGGGACTGGCAGATCTAGGGACAAGAATAGCCTGGCTGAGAAATAAAGTTTTAGTTTATACTAAATATACTCATAAGATAAAAACATACTAGTGCCTACAAATCGCCTGCTCTCTCAGTGTAGGAAGTAGTGGGGTTGATGTGTTCAATAAGCACAAATATGCTGAAATGCTTGTTAGACCCTTTTCTCCACTCATTCTAGTATCTTGGTGTCTCCAACATGTAAATAGGAAGGAGGAAGAGGGTTTCTCTTCCTCCAGCTTCTCGCCACTGCTGAACCTAAAGGACCAGAACCCGTTCAGCTCCACACTGCTGACCTGTGCTGGGGGAGGTCCCGACCCCACCGAGACCCCCGCGAGGCCAGGCTGCCACGCCTGTCACCGAGCCTGGATTTCTCCCCAGAAGTTTCTTTTCCTGATAGCATTTTCCATGGCCCAGTTCCCCTGTTTCTGAACGTCTTCTCCTCCCATTTACAGCCTAGAACTCCATATGTAGCAAATCTTTTTCCAGCCCTTAGCAGAGGCACAAGGCTGAGGGTGTCTGTTTACCGAAAAGCAGGTCGGTAACTTTCCGTGGTTTTCTCTCCCTGCAATGGCCTCCCAAGAAAACCTTCCAAATTCCAATTCCACTGAGTCCTAATCCTAACCATGAAGACAATTACATTTCATGCATATGAATTATATATCCAGCATAATTATAATTAATGGGCATGTTGTATATCTGATATAACGCTAATTAGATACTGTATATTTGTAAAATCTTTAAAACATAGACTCGTGGGTCTAGAATTTGTGAGGGTTTTAACTTTGGCTTTCCGGACAGATTGGGCTTTGCTTTGGTTTTTTGTTCAATTTGGGTTTGATTTTTCTTTTCTTTCTTTTATTTCCCCCGTTTATTTTCGTTCCTACCAAATTCTGTAGAACCAACTCCCATTGGAACACACTTCTGCGATCAGGAAAGGGTCTCAGAGGGTTTGAAGGCCAGCCAGAGGTGCTGCTGGAGCTGTGGGTGCTGCAGACTGACCCCAGTGTGCCCTCAAGGCCCCAGCACATGCACACCCCCGTGGGTCAGGGCAGGCACACTCCCTCCTCGGGGTGAGGTGAAAACTGACTTCAGGCTGTGAGCACATCCCTTGCACTTCTCTTTGCGTCCCATGTCCCCACATCAACTCTCTTCCTACATGGCTCTTCATTAGGCATCCCTGAACTCTGCTCTGCCCTCCTCCCTCCCCTCAAATACCTCCCACCTCCTGGCCTTAATGACATTCCCAGCCCAACTGTGCCAAGTCCTGTAGCAAACAGTGATCGTAGGGCGTGAGTCTCCTGTGGAGGCTTTGGTGCAGCACCAGGTTTGTCTGGTGCAGGGCAGGCAGGAGGAGCATGTCCTTACCCCAGTGGGACTTACAGGTGGGCCTCAGTGGGGTGTCCAGGTGGCCTTTCTCTTTCCCAGGCTGTCCTGGAGCTGGTTCTATTTCCAGAGCTTTATCCTGCCCCATCTGATGGAGACTGTGTTGAGAAGGACTCCATCAGTCGAAGGTTACTGGGGTTTTGTTTGACGGAAACTGAGCTGGGAGGGAATAAATAAATAAAGAACAGTCTCCAGGGTCGGATCCTGCAGCCTTGGGCAAAATCACTCTGGGCAACAACCAGAACTGTCTGTGGATCAGGGTGGCAGTCCATGGCACGGGAGGGATGGGAGACAACAGGCTCACAGCTCGTCTCCTGCCCCCTCCCTTGATGGACACTACTCTCCCCTGACTACCTCCAAGCTCCTCGGCTCAGCCCCTGGATTTTTCCTTCCAGAAGACAATCCCTGTGAAAACATTGCCCTGCTGACCTTCCCACAGGCCAGAGCGTGGGACTCGTGTGAAGAGAAAAGAAACTCTCATGGCTGATGGGGAGGCAACCCCTGCTGAGGTTCTGGGGCTCTTCCACTCTCTCTTGGCTCAAGCAAAGCCAGGGAGACCTGAACACTGTGGGGAGCAGAGTCCACTGTAGAGCCTCCAGGAGCTGTGGTGGCAGAGTTGGAGAAGAGGTGACGGTGGGAGGCTGTGGGTAGGTGAACACTCTCTCTTTCCATGTCCATAGCTGTCTGTCTCAAGCTCTAGTCCTCATCTAAATGTTCCATTTGTGAGCTAAGAAGTTGCTGGACCAGATGCAAATTTGGAAATTTTTCATTCAAGCAGCCCGTGCCGATGCTGAGCTGGGCCATTTGACCTCTGTGTCTCCTCCTATTCTGGCTAACAAATATCACAGGCCCTCTGCTGACGTGTCTTACCTGGGCAAGGTTCCTCCAGAGAAATCTTAGCCTCATTTCCTTGTCTTTTTTCCACCCACTCAACTCTTTCAAGCAGATGTGTCCCACAGGGAACCTTTTTAGGCCAAATCTCTTCAGGGACTCTGCCACCACCACAGAAAATTTCCAGCAAACTTCCTCGGGAAGGAACCGTGCCCTGGACACCACCATGCATTCCCACAGCTCACTCTGTGTGCTGGAATGGGTTGGTGGATGGGCCAGTGGCATTTCAGCACACACAGGTGTCCTTAGGTCATTTTTCTCCCTTATTCCTCCTTCTGAGAATTTGTCACTGAAAGAACACTTGGTCTGGGACCGAGTGTCATGACCCACAGCCTGGTCCCAGCGCTTCAGCTCCCCGTGGTCCTCATGTGATGGTAATGGGAATTTCCAGTTCTGTGGAGGGATCAGACTGCAAGTCTGTGGAGTGCTTTGAGACCCTCTCACAACTGGAACTGTAGAGCAGCAAAGTGTTTCTGTTAATCTTGTTTGTCATTGTCCTGACACATGGTGTGTGATGTGCCACAGTCCACCCTGCCCAGGAGGAGAGTGCTGGGCTGGGATTGCCCAGATTCCCACTGCTCTCCTCCTGGTCAGGGTCCTGGCAGGCTGCAGCTCCAAGGGATGCTGCTCCCTGCCCTGGGACCTTCCTGCTTCCTTCTCCTCGTGTCTGAGTCACCACAACATCCTGCACTCAGGAGAAAAGAGGGAAGCAGCCACATTCCTCTGTACAGAAAAATATAACCTGCCTTGATTAATCTCATATACTCTGAAGAATTGATCTGTATTTTCTCCACCCACAGGTGCAAACAAACACCTGGGGAGTGTCCAGTTCCCAGAGTGCATGTGCAGGGACTGGGGAAGGGGGATGTAGAAAAGTTTATAGTATTTCCTACAAGCTGATAATTATTTGCATTCCCTGAGCAGCAACACGTCCGGATGGCTGCACTGGGTTTTATACAATTCTCTGTGTATGTGTATATAGATACAAATATATATATATATACATACATACTGTAAAATGCAATCAACACATTCTGACTGACCCTGTACCAACTGAAGCTTCCAAACTGTGTTGAATCATTCTTTGAAATGTGGAAAACTATTTTTAATGAACCACACACAGCACCACACAGAACAGAAACTTTGTCATAAAAAGCCTTCTAATGCCAGTGAATCGTGTTTTAAGGAAAAACAAAAAAAAGAAATATTTTTCAATGTTTTAATGTTCCTTTTATAAACGATGATCTGTTACTTGGGGATGGGGGTGGGTGGGAAGAAACAGAGACAATTGTCCGGGACTAAGCCCTCCTTCCCTGGCCTGGATTTAATTTCTGTCTGCTGAGCCTGCCTGGCTGCAATGCTGCTCCCAGGAACCTGAGCTTCCCACATGCACATTTCTGTTCTGTCAGAAGCATTCCCACCAGGAATCTGCAGGAGCCTGGCATCAGGTTTTTGTAGTTCCTGATAGCTGGGAAGACATCCTCATCATCTTCCACCACCACAAACAAAATCGCCATGGAACAGAGTAACTTTAATTGTGTTTGAGATCCGTGTTCTATTTGTGATCAATTTGCCATCTTCAGCTCATAGTGAAATAGCTTGTCTTGGTTTAGTTTCAGATTTACTGCTTAATCTGGAAGGAGGGGCTCTGCTGAAATACCTTCAGCATGAACAGATTTCGTGTTCAGGTGTGTTTCAGCTGAGCGAAAGAAGGGAAATGTGTGAGAAAGGGGCTTCAATATTTTCCTAGCGAGTGTTGTTAGCAATAAGCCCATGTTGGGGCTGCTCCTTGGGGAACAGCCACTTCTGTGCTGTGTGTCCACAGGCAGGTGGGAGAAGGGATCATCCCCAGCTCTCTGTGGTGAGAGGTGCCCTCCCCAAGCCCAAATCCCAGCTGGGAAAAGCCAAACGTGGTTCACCCAAGGGCCAGGGGAGGGCTGGACGGGGCTGTCCGAGCATGCCGGTGTTAATCTGAAAGAGATCTCTGCTCCCAGCACCCTGGGTCTCCACCGTGGCCACACCATGTCCAGGAGGCCTCCATGCCAGGAGATCCCCATCCTTGGAGGTCTCCATGCCAGGAGGTCTCTCTCCATCCTGGGAGGTCTCTCTCCATCCCAGGAGTCTCCATGCCAGGAGGTCTCTCTCTATGCCAAGAGA